TGTCCCTACTAAAAAATACAAAAATTAGCTGGGCGTGGTAGTCCCAGATACTTGGAAGGGTGAGGCAGAAGAATCGCTTGAACCTGAGAGGCAGAGGTTGCAGTAAGCTAAGATCGTGCCATTGCACTCCAGCCTGGCAACAGAGCGAGACCCTGTCTCAAAAAACAAACAAACAAACAAAAACTCAGTATTACCAGAAAAACCTATTTGCTCTAACCAGCACCTGTCAACAGACCAATAACTCTTTATCCTACACCAGAAAATGTGAATATGTCATCTCTTTGAATCCTCATAAGAATTTCCAGTAAAGTGTTATTATTACCTGAATATTACAAACAAGGAATATTCTAGGCCTCATTTCTGTACCAGTGGATTGGGATGCAAAAGACCCGGGTTCTGATCCTGACTCTATCCCCAACCTCTACTACATGTGACCTTGGCCAAGTTTCTTCTGTCTGACCCTGTTTCCTCATCTGTAAAATCAGAAGTGGATTGGCCCAAATAGTGTGTCAAGGTCCTTCCTGCTCAGACACGGCTGATTTCTGTTCTCATAAAGCACCCAGTACTAATCAATGGCCAAGGATTGATCCAAACCAGAGGCCAACCCCAGGGGCCTCAAGGGCCAGGCAGGTAGCCGCACACAAGGGCCCTATGCGCCGGCCCACCTTGAATTCCTCGTGGATGCGTTCCTCCAGGACTTTGGCAGCCTTGCGGTCTTCCATCTCCACTTTCCATTTCTCCGCCAGGATCCGGGCTTTCTCATTGGCCAGAGCATCCCGGAACTTCTTGGTGATCTCTGCCTCCTTCTGTCTCCTACCAAGAGAGCACGACAAGTATAAGCTTGTGTGAAAAACTGAAGGACCACATAGCAACAGAACTTGAAATAAAAACAATGAGCATTTTTTCCTTGGCCTATCAGAATTCAGTGTTGGCAAAGACAGAAAGAAACCGGCATTCTCATGCATGGGAGTGTAAATTTGTATAATTCTTCTGGAAGCCAGGAAAATGAGGCTAGGAAATCCTATTTCCTAGATTTTGTACACTCACTCAAGTGTACAAGGATGCATGTAGGTCAGGCATGGTGGTGCATGCCTATAATCCCAGCATTTTGGGAGGCAGTAGCAGGAGGATTGCTTGAGGCCAGGAGTTCAAGACCAGCCTAGGCAACATAGTGAGACATCATCTCTACTAAAATTTTTTTTAAAATAGCCATGTCTGGTGGCATGCATCTGTAGTCCCAGATACTCAGGAGGCTGAGGTGGGAGGATCACTTGAGCCCAGGAGATCAAGGCTGCAGAGAGCCTTGATCATGACACTGCACTTTAGCCTGGGAAACAGAGTGAGGCCCTGTCTCAAAACAAAACAAAACAAAACAAAGATGAGTAAATAATAAATTCATAAGTAAATAAAACAAAAATGCATGTAAAAGATGCTTGTCAGAGGATTTTTTATAATATAAAAAAAAGATAACCCAAATGTCCATCAATAAGACCAATAAGTTGGGTTTCCCATATCATATAATAAATACCTGTACCATATAGTAATCTTAAGTGGCATTTTGGATCTATATTAGTCAATTTGTCAAGGTGTGAATAAAACAATTTACAAAGCGTGTATTAAGTAAGCATTCACTACGGTTATCTTAGGTGGTGGGTATGAGTTGTTCTTTATTTTATTTTCAGTGTTGTTTACACGATTTGAGAATTTTTCAATTAAAATGCCATCATTAAGGCCAGCGTGGTGGGTCACGTCTGTAATCCCAACACTTTGGGAGGCCGAGGCGGGTGGATCACCTGAGGTCACGAGTTTGAGACCAGCCTGGCCAACATGATGAAACACCATCTCTACTAAAAACACAAAAATTAGCCATGCATGGTAGTGGCAGCCCTGCAATCCCAGCTACTCGGGAGGCTGAGGCAGGAGAATTGCTTGAACACAGGAGGTCGAGGTTGCAGTGAGCTGAGATCGCACTACTACACTCCAGTCTGGGCAACAAGATCAAAACTCCATCTCCAAAAAAAAAATGTTGAAGTCAATTTCACATGGATTTTCAAATTGACTGACAAAATCTTAAAGTTGTTTATGAAAGGAGTCTGACTCCAAACCTCACTGGGGTTCAATTGCTCCTCCTGTGTGAGAAAGATGGGTAATACAAAGAGGAACAAGTAGATAACAAACATGAATGTAAACTGCGGTGCCATTCCCATGAGAACTCAGTGAGAGAACAAACAAAAGCTTGTGGCATGTGTTGTCTCAGCAAATCCAAACTCTGTCCATACGGGAAGCATGGTGTTATGCCCACACCACAGATATGTTAACTGAGGCCCTGGATCAGCCAACTACTAATTGGTAGAGCCAGGATTTAAGCCCATGAGGTTTTCTGATACAAGACTCTGATGCTTTGGTCACCTGATCTTAGCAGAGCTCAAAACAGCCAGGTAGCCTGACTGGGCCTCCTTTCTCCCACCCACACCGTACTGTCCTTAGCTTGGCCCCACTCCAGGCCTCCATGCCCAGACCCCTCCCAACACCCCATAGCTCCCCTCACCAGAGCTCCTCAGCCTCCTTCTGTGCCTGCAGCCGTGCCCTCTCTGCAATCAGCTCCTCAGAGATCTCTTCATAGGGCTTGTCACCAGGGCCTTCTCCCATGATCCAGACCCAGACCTCGCCATCTGCCCCTAGGAGCCACTGGATGTGCTTGTTACCCGCTGCTTCACAATAGAAGGAGAAACAAAGAAAGAAGAAGAAACAGGTTTGATTTCCAATCAGTAAGGAATGACCTCAGCTGCCCAGTGGTATACAACCATCATTTCACTCTACAGAAACTTGTCATCTACAAAAAGAATTCCAGAGAGACCCTGGCCTGGGTGCAGGTTCACAACCATCTCCCACTCCCTATTTCTCTAGGGAGAAACACAACAGCCACACCAGCCTGCAGGGGCAGGTGTCCAAGGCCAAGCTCTCCTTCAATCTCCAGCAGAGAGAATGCAACGGTGAAAAGGAAGCCGACCATGACTTGCTCCGATTTACTCCTAAATCGCTCCACCGCCCCCATGGTGATATTTTTTAGGTTAACTGCTTTTGCTTACCTCTGCATACAGGCCAAGCTAACAATGGGAGGAATTTGGTTTATAGTTTAACTTTAAAACAAGGCTAATAGGCCCTCCCAAAACTAACCCCCCAGGAGACAAAAAGGGTGTACACACAATAACAATGTTATGTTAAAAATGTATAAAAGCACTGTGACCTGACCAAGGACAAAGAAGTTTACCTTCACTGCTGCCCAGATGCCCATAGTCATTAGTCACCCTTTAACCTCAACCCCTCCCTCATCCTCCTTCCCTTAACATAAAAGAAACCCAAAATTCATATTAGCTTAGGAGGTTCTTTAGAACACTGGTTGCCATCTTCTCAGTTTGCTGGGTCTTGGAAATGAAGTCGCTTTCCTTGCCCCAACACTTGTCTCTCAACTTATTGGCTGTTGTGTGGTAAGCAGTACAAGCTTTGGACTTGGCTATAAGAACATCAAGGGCCACTGCAGCACTCTCTGAAGGAAAAGACTTGTATCACTCCTGGGCCAAAGCAGTTAGGAGATGGTGGCCCTTCTCTGCACTCTCTCCCTCATGTCCACTGGGTAGAAACAAGGAATCAGGTGGTGGAGTAAGATGAAGCAGCCTGGGGCCCTGAGTCTCCCTGGCCCACATCAGACTGTAACATTAGCAAGAAATAAACTTGTGCTATATTCAGCCACTGAGATTTCTCAGTTTGCCTATTACAACAGATTCCACTGATTACATGACTAAAATGAAAATGTATCCCAAAAGCAGAGTGCTGCTGAAACAGAAGTATAAACTCTGTGTCACTGCTTTAGCAGTTGGGTGGTGAGTTATGTTGAACAGGCTAGAGATCCATATTATGCAGCCACAAAACATTTGGTTAAAAAGCTAGACACTGTAACTTCAAAGGCAGACCCCATGCTTTCTGAACTCTTCATTCTAAGGGAGGAGGTTGAAAAACAGAACATTAGGAATAAGTGTTGGTTGCTAGGGACTGTGTTTGGCAAGGTGTTAAAAGAAAGAAATGAATTCAAGAAAGAACTGAGTGCTTTGCAAGCTGAAATGAAAGGGAAGAGAGCAAATACAGAAATTTGGGATGTTACAGGATTGGAAAAAGCATCTCATCATATACCACGTTGCAAGAGATAGAATTTTTAAAGGTTTTGCATGACAGAGTGTAGGAAAACTTCTATGGTTAATAAAGTGACAAAGGGCACATAGCACCTGCAGGTCAGGCTCTGTGAAGTTCCTGTGGTGGCCATGAGGATGTGCTCTGTCCACCTTCAACAACAGGGAGCAACACTGACCGAGCCCCGCAGTTCTTGTGCCCTGCTTCCCAGAGGCTGCTGTTAGCCTTTTATTGAGGATACCAGGCTCATTCCCAGGAGACACCCACCTTCTTGCCAAAGGATTGTTCCCTGGACTGCACAGCTGCCTAGAACACCTCCGCCCACTGTCCCTTGCCCTCTCCTTCACTCAAGGTCAGCTTGCAATGACTCTCTCAGCCTCCTCCAGCTCTCTACCTTTCTTCGCTCCTAGGCATTTCTCTTAACAAAACCCTTGCATGATTAATCCCATCCTGTCTCTGCTCCTTAGAGAAACCAGACTAACCCCGGCACATTAAGAATGTGGTCTCTCTCTGGGTGCGGTGGTGCATGCCTTTAGTCCCAGCTACCGAGGAGGCTGAGGTGGGAGGATTGCTTGAGCCCAGAAGTACTGGACTGTAGTGCACTATGCCGATCAGGTGTCTGCACTAAGTTCAGCAACAATATGATGACCTCCTGGGAGCGGGGGACCATCAGGTTGTCTAAAGAGGGGTGAACCGGCCCAGGTCGGAATCGGAGAAGGTCAAAACTTCCGTGCTGATCAGTAGCGGGATCGTGCCTGTGAATAGCCACTGTGCTCCAGCCTGAGCAACATAGCGAGACCCCGTCTCTAAAAAAAAAAATTTTTAATTGTTTAAAAACAGTGTGATCTCTCACACTTACTTTTACAAAATGCATCAAGGAAGATGCCCTTCAGGTGAAACGGAGAGGCACAGGGGTGAAGGGGCAAAGGAAGAACGTCAAGATGAGAAATATGTCTAGAAAAGAATTTTAGATGTTGTTGGCCGGGCACAGTGGCACACGCCTGTAATCACAGCACTTTGGGAGGCCAAGGCAGGTGGATCACCTGAGGTTAGGAGTTTGACACCAGCCTGACCAACATGGTGAAACCCTGTCCCTACTAAAAAATACAAAAATTAGCTGGGCACGGTGGTAGGCACCTGTAATCCCAGCTACTCAGGAGGCTGTGGCAGGAGAATCACTTGAACCCAGGAGGTGGAGGTTGCAGTGAGCCGAGATCATCCCATTGCACTCCAGTCTGGGTAACAGAGCAAGACTCCGTGTCAAAATATAAAAAAAGAAAAAGAAAAAAAAAGAATTTTAGATATTGTTACTGGGACACGAAAGCAAACAGAAGCCACTTAAGTTTTTGAGCCTGGATTTAAAAGTCTTTGGTTGTTCATGACTTAAACGGCCCTTGAGCATCCAAGTCTGATGACCAGGAGACAGGTTTCAAAGGCTACACTGGTCTACAGGGTGAGAGTCTCAACGTTCACTTCAGAGGAGGCCAATGGGAATCGAAGACAAAAAGCCTCATCCAGGCTGGAGTCAGTGTCCACTCAAGGAATTCTCTTCACTGCAAGGCAGGGAAACTTCATGGAGCCTGACCTGTAGGACTTCAGAAATGCTATAGATTGGAGACTGTGGCTCTCATGTTCTCCACTTTTCCAGGTGGCATTTCCTTAGTGGGTATTCTGACCCTGCTCCAGCACTGTGTATAGTGCCTTAGGGGTGACAGATGTTTAAATGCTATGTCTTCTCAGCACATTCAGACCTGATAGAGATGAGTGCAGAACCCCGGAGACAGTGGACTTTGAGGTGGATGCAGTGACTGGCTGGGACCTGAAGGTGTCCTCGTAAGAGGTAGTGAGTGTATTTTAGATGGAGGAGAAGAATGAAATGTGTGGATGGCCAGAATGACAATTTAGGACAGTAACAATGCAATGTTCACCACCCCATGTCTCTTCCTGAGCCCACAGATGACTGCATTCCTCAGCTTCTCTTCAGTTCTGTGGGGCCATGTGACTGAATTCTAATCCACGGAATGTCAGGGAAGGAATTTGTGCCACTTTCAGGCTAAGGCCGTTAGCAGCTGGTGTGCCTTTTCCCATTTTCACTCTTGTCCACCCAGCTGGAAATAAATGGTGGAATTTCAAGAAAAAAAGCATCCTGATCCATCAGCCAATGTTTGAAAGCAAGCCACACAGAAGAACTACCCAACCCACATCAAATTGTGAAATAGTTAAGTAATAAACCTTCATCATATTGATCTACTGAAATTTCAGGTTTTTCTATATGTGCAAGGCAGCAGTAATTCTCCAAATGTATATAGGAGGGCACTGTTATTTTTAAGTATGTTACAAGCAATAGAGTAGTAAAGAAACAACAATTTAATGATTTAATTGTGACTGATAGAAACAAAGAGGCAACCATTCCTTAGAATTATAAAACTTTCAAATTAATAGTGGGTAGAAATAAATGATAAGAGGATTACCCATCCTGCTAAGCAAGGAGAAAAGACAAAGCAACACAAAAAATGGGTAGCTATTACAGCAGGCACTACCAACTAACTACCCACCCTCCATGCCTGCCTCACCACAGAACCCCAAGTTGTTCAGGGTGCAGCAGAGATCTCCATCTTTTAGGAAAGGAGAATTTCTACCGCCACGCCAAAGGAAAAATAACAATTGATCTGGCAGGGCATGGTGGCTCATGCCTGTAATCCCAGCACTTTGGGTGGCCAAGGTGGGCAGATCACCTGAGGTCAGGAGTTCAAGACCAGCTTGGCCAACATGGTGAAAACCCGTCTCTACTAAAACTACAAAAATGAGCCAGGCATGGTGATGCACACCTGTAATCCCAGCTACTCAGGAGGCTGAGGTGGGAGAATCACTTCAACCTAGGAGGCAGAGATTGCAGTGAGCCAAGATCATGCCACTGCACTCCAGCCTGGGCAATAAGTAAGACTCCGTCTCAAAAAAGAAAAAAAAAATTGGTCTAATCCCATCAGGTAATATTATTCTCATTGGCAAGTGATTCATCTATAAGTGATCAGATGTCCCCATTTCTGACAAAGAAGATATAAGCAGATGTTCCAGTGAAGGGTTCTTCTCCAAACAAATGGATCAGTGTTTTCAGGAGAAACACTTTCATGCTTCACTCTTTTACCCCACTTTCTACTTCCTGCTGGGAATGAAGCAGTGACGTCTGGAGCAGCTGGAATACTTTTGCAACCATGAGGATAAAAGCCACATGCGAAGGATGGGGAAGCGAAAGAAAGAAGGGAAGGGGTCCTTGGCGATCTTGTTGAGCAGCTAAACTAACATTACCCAGTGCAGCACATCTCCAGATTTCCTTGTCATCTGAGAAAAACAAGGAACCTTAAGAAATAAAGTCCTTTAGTTGGGTGTGGTGGTGCCTCTAGTCTCAGCTACTAGGGAGGCTGAGGCAGGAAGATCCCTTGAGCCCAGGAGTTGGAGACTGCAGTGAGCTATGATTGCACCGCTGCACTCACTCCAGCCTAGGTGAGAAAGCAAGAACATGTCT